GAAAATGTTGGATGGGCCCTAAAGTGTAGCGCCCTGTCCTCTGGATCTGGGGTTCTAAGGCTGGCTCCCCCTGCATCAGGCGGCCCTCCCATGGGTATGTGGCAGACCAGGCATTGGGAAGCTGGGACCCACTTTTAAAGCCCGCTTCCACCTCCTGAATCAAGCATGGTTCCTGGATGTGTTTGTTGAAACTACGCACATTCTTTTAAATTTTGACCTGGTTGCGAACATTTAAAACTTGGGATATTCCACAACAGATTTTTGAATTTTAAAGTTCTCTATCAAACTAAAAGCCCTATCAACATGCAGCATGCATATATCCCTCTGTGGAATTGAAGAATAGCATGAACCATTTACATGTAAAACAGATCACTATACTCCTGGTGCCTGCTCAACCCCTTAAAAACATTTGCGTTTCTGACCCCTGTCAAGGGGAGTGTGTGGCTCTTCTCAACAGAGTTCCTCTTCACTGGGGTGACCTATACCTGACCCACCCTTCTCCAGGGCTTTAACTTCTACTAAGGGCTGAGGTAGGTGGAGCTTCCAGAATGTTCCTCACAACCTATGAAGCACCAGGTACATTATGTAAGTCAAGTCAAGGAAGTCCACTAGTCCACCCTATCCTCTGCCCCCAGGCTCTCTTGAAGAATGAAGTGTGTTTGCAGAGAGGTGGGGTGATCCTTTCATGTCACCCGCCAGTGGTCTCAGCAGATCAGGAGACTTGAGGCAGCTGCTCAAGTCACCCTGGTAATTGGAACATGCCGGGTGTGAGAATCACTCTTTGCAAGAGCTAAAAGCTGAGAGCAGTGTGGGGCCAACCACACTGGCACTTTTCAGCCAGTATGCTGCTGTGGGGAGCCTGTTAAAAATAGCCTGGGCTGATGCTGGAACTTGTGTGTGTAGAGCAAGAGCAGAGTGGACTTTTTGGACACTTTTGACAATCCAATATGGAGTCACTCCAATTGTAGTGAGCAAGGAACATCCCTTAAAGGAGTCACTTACACAAGTTTTCGCAGTGCCAGGTTTATTAAGGGAGACCAATAGAGTTGCTTGCAGGTTACACACAGAGTGGGGGAGCTTACCTGGTAGAAGCAAGCAGAGTGAGCACTGGCATGAAGTCCCAGTTACTGGCAGCCTCAGCAGGTTAGAGGGGTGGGCATCGGTCTCAAGCCAGGCGGCTACAGTGAGGGCACTCATCTGGTGGAGTGGAGTCTGGCAGGGCTCTGAGTGTGGTATAGCCAAGCTTGAGTGTTAGGTGGTTGGTTGGGTGGTTGGAGCTCTGAGTTCTTTTTTTTTTTTTTTTAATCCTCAAGTATATATTTTTTCCATTGCTTTTCAGAGAGTGGGAGAAAGAGAGAGATTGAGAGAGAGAGAGAGGGAAACATTGACATGAGAGAGACATATCAATTGCTTGCCTCCTGCACGCACCCTGACTGGGTCTAGGGATCAAGCCTGCAACCGAGGTATGTGCCCTTGTCCAGAATCAAACCCAGGACCCTTTAGTCCAAAGACTGACACTCTAACCACTAAGCAAAACTGTCTAGGGTGGAGCTCTGTGTTCTTATAGCCCACAAGGAGTGGAGGTCCCACTCATTTCAGTATCTACATGGAATCCTTATCCAAGTGTCCAGACTTGTGATTTTGAGTGTTCTGGACCCCTCCTAAGGGTCTTCTTGTTACACCTCATTACCTGTCGTGACATAGCACTTGACACAACTGTCATGGCTGACAATGACTCCATACTGGACTGTCGAAATTGTCCAAAAAGTCCCTTCTGCTCTTGCTCTGTACACTGGGAAAGTATGACTTGGGGGTAGCCAGGGTAACTTCTCCTGTGTGGGTGTTGCTTGCTGGGGCCCATAGGTGGGGTGAGGCTGGTGAGGGACATGGCCCTGCCCTGAGCAGACTGTGGGGGAGACAGAGCTCTGACTTGAAGGCCCCAGTCTGAGGGTGGGTAGGGGAGAGTTCCAGATCTGCCTCCTCCTGCTCCCACACTGTTAGGATAACAGGAATTGCCCATGTCTAGATGGGCTGAGGGAGGTCTACGGGGGCCTCTCCTGCTCAGCAGGACATTCCAGCCCTCTGGAATCCCAAAGTTCCCACCAAGAACCTTTATCAGGATGCCTGACTCCAGCCATCTCCTGCTTTCCCTGAACATGTCCTTATTCTTGGCCCATCCCCTTCTCAGCCTATTCAAACCCTCCCTCCCTGGAGGATCTCTCATGTATGTATTCTGTCCTTCAGGAAGCCCCTCTGATCCTTCTGCTCAAAGTACCAGCCCCTCCTTCAAGCTCATCCTTCCTGCCCTGCCATCCATGCCCCTGGGCTTCCCTTTCCCTACTGCAGCTCAAGATGCTGTGGTACCTTGAACAAGCCTTTGTCCCTCTCTGGGCCTCCATGAAATCAAGGTCTAGAGCTGGCTAGAATTATTTGCACACCCTACTGTGATGTCTCGTGTCACCAGGCCCCACACAGAGTCCTACACAGGGAGAATCTGAGACCTGGGCATGACTGCTGGTTCAGGTCCCTCTCAGATGACTGGGGATCCAGCCTCTGTTCACACGCCCTCACTGCCTCCTGAGGCAGCCCTACCCTGCTGACAGCCTCTTTCCCTGCATCTTCTTCAAGGTCCTGTCTCTGCCACAGTTCCCTGGGGATGATCTCTGGACTGGCCAGGGAGACAGTAAGGCCTGGTTGTTGAGGAAGCTGGCTGCTTGTGGATGGAAAGGCTTCCCTCTCCCATGCTTGCTCCTGAGATGTCCCCAGCACAAAACCACCTTCTCTGCCCTGGGTAAGGATGACAGTGAGGGAGCAGTCTTTCTATTACTCCTGAGGTGAGGGGCATGAGAAGGGCTGGGAACACGGAGCTGACCAGCTTTATCTGTCTGTAAAACCTGGGGTGAACCCTTTGGTGCCTGGGGAGCCTCACTTATCTCTCTGGGCAAATTCAGTATTGGACCAGACCAGGTCCAGGTTAGTAGTTGACACTCTGGGGACTCAAATCTCACTAACTGAGCAAGTTTCAACCACTTACTTAACCTTCCTATGCTTCAGTCCTTACATCTGTAAAATGGGGATGACAATAGAATGTCTCTCATAGGGCTGTTGTGAGGATTAAATGAGTGTATATGATATAATTAAATGAGGATTAAATGAGTACAGAGCCTAAAGTGTAGTGTTATATAAATGTTAATTATTACCAGGTCACAGGCTCTTTTGAGAATTCAATAAAACTTTTAGATCTTTTTTCAGAAGAAACCTGCACTCATACACCCATCTCAGTGCACAGTTTTTGGTGTTATCAACTCCCTGAAGCTCATTTGTGTAAGAAGACATGGCTGAGGCATTCTGACTCTAATGTGCTTCGTTGTTGCTGTTGTTGTTGAAATTTTGGGGTCAATTTGATATATGCAAATCGTTTTAAAAGTTCAAAGATAAATTACTGATCCCTGCCTTGCCCCCACCTTTGGGCCCAAGCTCCTACAGAGGCCATTTGCAACCATTTCCCCTGATATTCCTCTCCTTCTCCACACCCAAACTCGAGCTCCCTGAGCGGTGTTGACAGGGGTGGTGGAAGCCTTAGCTGTGAGCTTCAGTGCCTGCGATGAGGTGGCTGACTTGCTCCTGTTTCTTCCCCAGAGACTGGTCAGGCTTTGCCCCTCTGACTCACTGCCAGACTCGATTCCACCTTCTGAGTGGCGCTTGGGTCTACCAAGGAGCCTCCAACAATTCTCCCCCCTCCTCATCCCAGTTCAGATGCCCTAATTTGTTGCCTCAGCAGACCTCCTGCTTCCACCCTTGTCCCTCACTGGTAACCAGAGCAGCTTTCAAGTTGCAAATCCCACCAAATCTCTCCTTCTTAAAACTCCCCAATGGCTTCTCATTTTTAGCATCAAGGTTGAGGGGAAAAAGTTCTGTAAGACTCTTGATGCCCTGGGTACAGAAAAAGTAGAATTCTTCTTGGCAAATAATGACATCATTAAAGGGGGCTTGGGTAACTGTAGCCCAGGGGCCTGCAGTGCCCCTGGGGTTGAGGCAGAGAGGAGGAGATGGCTAGGGTGAAGCCAGCTCATGCAAATTTATTGAAATGAGGCTTTGGGAGCAGGATTGACAAGCTGCCAAGAACAAAGACTCTAAAATGCTCCTGTGTCCCACCTCCCCAACCCTCTGGCTCCTGTTGATAGTTTTGGGGGGGGGTGGCTAGAGGAGAGGCTGTCAGGAATGGAATCTCAGTGAATTAGGAAAAAGAACCCATGCTTTTTTCTTTTTTTTTCTTTTTTTTAATGTTTTTATTAATTTCAGAGAGAGGAAGGGAGAGGGAGAGAAATAGAAACATCAACGATGAGAATCATTGATAGGCTGCCTCCTGCACACCCTGTGCTGGGGATAGAGCCCGAAGCCCGGGCATATGCCCTGACCACGAAATTGAGCCATGACCTCCTGGTTCATAGGTCGATGCTCAATGACATGCTCTCATTTTTGGCCTCTGTAGGGCCACTTTAATAAATTAAATAATTTGTTTACAATGATAGTTTTGTTTACAATGACATGGTGAATAGTCAGAACTCAGAACTCAACCTGAGATCGAGAGCCTTAACAATATCTTCACCCATCTTGTGCTTCTCCCTTATGATATTCTCTAATTTTTCCTCAGAGGTAATTACTGAATTTTGTGTTTATTATTCCCTTGACTTTTATTATTTTATTTTATTTATTTTATTTTTTTAATCCTCATCAGAGGATATTTTTTTTCCACTGCTTTTTAGGGAGAGTGGAAGGGAGAGAGAGAAACATCGATGTGAGAGAGACACATTGATTGGTTGCCTCCCACACATGCCCTGACTGGGGCTGAGGATCAAGCCTGGAACTGAGGTATGTGCCCCTTGGCCAGAATCGAACCTGAGACCCCTCAGTCTGTGGGCCTATGCTCTAACCACTGAGAAAAACTGGCTAGGGCTCCCTTGCCTTTTAAAATAAAATTTTATTACTGTATCAGGCAGGATAAACTAGTTAGATGCTGCAGTAACAATGAAGAACCTCAGTGGCTCAGCTCAACACAGATTTATCTCTCACTCCTGCCCACTGCACATTCGGCCGGACAGGTTGCAGTGGCCATCCTACGATGCTGCTATTCAACACTAACATCTTGGGTTTGCTTTGGCAGGGGAAGAGGAGAAGGACTCAAGCACCCGTTCTTAGATGTTCCTGGCCCAGAGTGACACTGAGCACTTTGTTGACCGTTCATTGGCTCAGGCTTTCCCGAGTTTCAGAAGGAAGTATACCTAGAAAGAATGAAGAGCGAGAGGACTTGCTGAGCTCTGGTGATGTTACCATAACCATGTATCTGTAGAGGCCTAAATAGTGTTTTTGATTTTACTTGTTGGTGAACTTTATAGACAGGGCATCATGTTATAAGTGATCTTTTGAGATTAACTTTTTCACTTCCATTATGTTGCTAAGATTCATCCACACATGGAGCTGTGGTTTCTCCTGTGTCATTGCCATCTAGTCCTTCACAGAATGCCTCTTCCCCATGTACCCATTTTCTTTTCATAGGGCATTTCAATTGTCTGACTTTTTTTTTTTTTTTTTTTTT